CACACACACACACACACACACACACACACTTGGCTGAAAATGTTCTAACTACGATCAGATGTTTTCTATTTTACTGGGTTTATCGAATAAAACTTTTAAATTGAATGTGCACTTGTTTCCCATGATGCCACACTGCCTCACAACATCATCAAGCTTCAGTCTCGTGTCATTGTTTCGATAGGGAGACCCCTGGTGGGTCCGACGTTACACACGTTATCCGACCATTAACAAGCTACCGTCACTCGTTTACTTATTTAAATACATTTAGAATTAAATATTCTCTCGGTTCCATCAGAGAGCGATAACTTCTCTGAGGTTTGCTACCTAGCGCCCCCTCCAGGTCTGCACGGCATCATGACACTGCAGGGCAGAGAGGACGCTGGGAACTTTATTTTACTGAGGTGACGAGCGATGGAAACTAGTCTGATATGTTGAGAAGCTTGTTTTGTTGAATACTGTGCTACAGGTATAAAAACACACACACACACACACACACACACACACTTGAGTCTACCAGGGGCACAAGCGCTCGTTGACACACAAACCGAGACACACGGTTGTCGAGCGCAGTCCCTCTCACTCGTCGTCCCGCTGCTGGTCGAGTAGCGATGACGCGTCGAGCAGACAGCCTCTGAAATAACCGATCAGGGAGTGAGTCAGCTGAATGCGGCTGCGTTGTGACAGGAAGTGTCCCTCGTCTGGGTAAATCTGAAAAAATAAGAGAAGACAGGAGAGATGAAAAGATTTAAACAATTCAAACATCGATTTAAAGAAGATTTTTTTTCAATATAACCGACATTAAATAAAACTATTAGAATGAAATATGACTCATTCACATATATCAAGATATTCACTGTCACTGACGAGCCTCGGAAAATTCTTTGTTTCTGTTCGACCCAAGTTTCTAAATATCAATTTTTTATTCACCGAGACAAATAAACCTCATTTTCAGTCTGTTAAGTTCTTTTTGTTTGTTTTTTTTTTTCTGGCTCCTCATCGAGGTGTGAAATGAGGTTTCATGAGCGCAGGGACGATAACATTGATTCTGAATTAAAGAGGAATTTCAGCCCTGAGCTAAAGTGAAAATCAGGTGAGTGAGAAAAACAGAAACTGTATTTTCATCCGTGTGCCGCTGTGGATACAGATAGATGACGTGACAGCTCCCAGCTCGATCGCCCCCTGGTGGCTGGCTGCGGTGCGTGTCATAAACCCCATCCTCCATGTTAGCTCATGGGACATTCTTTCATTCTTCTCTACAGAATGTATTATTTACCTGCATCGTGTAGTTGGCTCCGATCTTTATTAAGTGTTTGATGAGCTCCGCCGAGTGCTGGAAGTGAACGTTGGCTGTGGAGAAAAACAAGACGTGCGATAAGTGTCGACCAGGTTAATTCCACCGCCGCAGGAAAGGTCACGTTTTAACGCTCTGCGTCGCGGAGAGGCTCGTTTCAGAAACAACTCAACGCCCACAGACTGAGGACTCACGCCCGCCCGGGGTGACGCACGAGTGAACGTACCGTCAGCAGTCCCGTGAGCCAGAAACAGAGTTCCTCCCTGCAGACCCTTCATGTTGGTCAGGACTCTGGAAGCCTGGACGCACAGATGAGGAGAAATGATTTCAACTCAGCAACATCAGAGGATGATTTCGAGAGCAGCAGAGTTGGCAGGAGTCAATAATATGAAAGGAAATCAAGAAATTCAAAACGTTCATTTCAGCTGCTACAGGGTTCTTGTGTTTTGAATTCAGATATTTTTTGATTAGGTTACGAGGATGATTACTGAAGATGTCACTTGAACCAGAACTACACACACACACACACACACACACACACTCGTCGCCACCAGCTGTGAGAGTCAAAAATAGCGTCCTCTGGCCCAGTTATGCTCAGCCCCACTTAGGAAGAAAACACACTCTGGCTGCAACCTTCGTTTGGAGGACAACTGGGTGTTTTTGTTTTCAGCGTCAACCTGTGGCATTTCCCTGTTCTTCTTCCTCTTCTCCTCCTCCTCCTCTTCCTCCTCCTCGCTGTTGCATCAGATAATATTTGGAGCGTTGCCTAAAAAACGCCGGAGGCCACATTCTCCTCTTTGTCTTTAACAGACTGCGACGGTTTTGTTTGTGAATGGAAGCAGAGCAGAGCATATTTTCATTTAGACCACAGTGACCTGCTTTACAAAAGTGTGCCACCTCCACACGACTGGAAAAATAGAGCGCAAACGCTAAAATGACATTTGGAGTCAACGTGCAAAGAGAAGAATTCACACTGAACTGTGGGATTTTAACTTAGAGGCTGTGAACATCATTTAAATATCACTTCCTATCTATACTTCTCTACATTTAAGAGCTGGGCTTCAGTTATAAGTTGATTTATAGAATCATTTTTGCAGTTTTACTTCTTTCCAGCTTGACATACTGGATGGTTTCCTGATTGCCCTTGTAGACATTTCAATCATTTAAAAAAAAAAAAGAAACATCTGGGGCTCCGTGAACAGTTTAACTCCCGTTTCTGAAAATAGATTTCCAGTCAATAGTCTACTCTGAGGTTCAGCCACAGACGGACGACGAGAAGAAGCAGCTCACTTGGTATTTGTTCTCCTCGGTGGAGGGCGAGCCCAGGTATCGCTCAGAAAAGGCCGAGGCTGAAGGAGAAAGAGCAGAAAACACAGGTTATTAGAAGGAGAACAAGAAATACGTGGCGCTTGAGGGAGGAGAACAAATGCAGGAGCTTCCTTTTTGCTTTTCACAACAAACTACAGATTTAAAACGTTTAAATCGTCTTTTTTCAGCCTCGAAAAAAGTCTGAAATCCTTGTTGTTTTCTGTTTCAGAGGATTTTCACTCACTCGTGTTTATTATTAAATTCTAATCGCACTCCACAGTCGCTCCTCCGCTGCAGCGTTGCTCTGATACCGGTCCCAGAAATGAAAGCGTTTCATCCTAAAACCCAATAAGCCTGAATTCCCATACGCAGAACATAAAGATAATTAAAGTCACACCAGCCAGACAACACGTGAAGGACAGAGACGTCACGAGTCGGCGGCAGCAGAAGTAATAAATACTCCCACGTCCCTGCAGCGTGCGTTACTTGTCCCTCACCGTACATGGACCAGTCGATGACGGGAGTCTGAGCTGCGGCACATCTGACCAGCCGCTCCGTCGACTTCAGCATCGTCAGCGCGAGGAAGCCGCCGTAGTCCTGGTGGAGACACAAGGAACTGTGGGTAATTTCGTTTTTTTAAAAACACAACAGTTAAAATAAGAGAACTTAATTTATTGACGAACCTCTCCGAAGACTCCGACGCGAGTGCGATCGATGAACGGCAGCTTCACCAGGTATCTGAAGAACACGAGGAGACGACTCAAACACATTTGAAATGAACTTGCGAGTGAAGAGGCCGAGGCCGAGGCTCCGAGAGGCGATTTACAGATAAACAAGAGGCCGACAGGAGGTCAGAGGTTAATCCTGAGACGACCGTGTGAGAGAAACAAGAGAAGAAGAATCACCCGCTCTGTTTGTTTATATCTGTTGGAATCTTTTCTTCAGACCTGTGTCGGCCTGATAAAATCTAAACGTATAAAGATATTCATGAAAAAATAACACAGGCGTTTTAAAGCAGATAAAAAAGCAGCGCGATAATAGAAGTTGTTTTTCACACCGGCTCTCGCAGGTTGTTAACATTCATGAGTTGAACCCTCAAACCTAAATCTATTCCTTATTCTGATGTGCAACACAAACACCCTTCACCCTGAGACACCTCCTGAAGAGACGGACCTCGGCACAGAGGCTGGGATTAACTCCTGTTTTAATTAACTCATCATTAGATCCGTAAAACACAGCACGACCTTTCTTAAAATGTTCAGACGATTCCAAGAAGCTTTAGATTCTCACGAAACTTAAAATAAAAGTGCGGAGGAGTGTGCGACATACTCGAGAGCAGCAATCTGGTCGTCAGCGTCGACGGAGCCGAGGCTCAGGTGGACCTGCTGTAAGACCCTGTGAAAAGAAAAACCATCAGTGCAAAGTCTGACGCACAGAGAGAGAGAGAGAGAGATCTTTGACGGGAATTAACGGCACCTTTGACCTCTGAACCCAGAACCTCTGCCGTCCAGTCGAGCCACGATGATCTGCTCAGATCCCACCAGCACCGAGTCCCAGTCCAGCCCGAACTCCTGCGTCACCGTCTGATCCCCGGGAGAACTGCCGCTGTCGGGAAACACCAAAACATAAACGGTTACTCGCAGATCATTTGCTTCTGCTCGTCTTTGAACGAAATCTAATTATTCTTTATCGTAAACAATAGGTTTTTATTTCTGTCCGTAATGAAGGAGACTAAATAAACTGAAGCACCGTCTCCTGGTTTCAGACTTTTCAGGGATTCTACTCCAATTTTCTGCTGAAGCCTCAAAGACATTTGACCTGATGTATATTTTATATAAAATGCTCAGATGCTGACGTTCTAGTTTCACCGTCGTGCAAAGTTTGACCTCACTGACAGAACAGTCATAAAAAATGGATTCAAATCGTCGCTGTGAGTTGAGAATTTTCTCATCGAACAACTTTTACTTTCATTTATCGCAGCTGTTGATATGTAAAATGTGCTTAAAGGCCTGCGGCTGCGGAGGAGTCGAGCTTTTCACTTCCAGCCTTTTGAAGGCCGACGGCGCGGCTCTCAGCGTAAACGAGGGAAAAATGTAAATGCAATCAAAGCAGAGAGAAACAGGCTCACACGACGAGGAGGAGGCCGTAGAGGAAGGACTCGGAGAAGTCGGGAGGATAGGTGAGCTTCAGCGGCAGCTCTGCGACACACAAACACAATGCGCGTCAGACTGGAAGCATCATCTCACGGGGATCGCACACAGACACTTGTCCTCTGTACCGTAGTGGTCGTGGGTGATGACGCGCGTGTCGGTCTGAACCGTCCTCTTGGTCTGCAGCGCGGTCCACAGAGGGAGGTTGTTCTCCAGGATGAAATACGCTGCGGAGAAAGAAATGATCACAGTTACACATTCCTGTGGGATGAAGAACAGAGTCTCCGTTTGATAGACAGGGCGAGGGACGGGAGGGGAGAAGTGCGTCGGGCCGACGGACCAAAATGAATTAAAGTGGAGGGAGCAGCTTCGGGCTTCACCTCCGGCGATATATAAACTACGGACCAACCACATGAAGATAAACAGAATAAACAGCGCTGACTGTTATCTCATGGAAATGAGAAGAATCGCGGCCGTTTGAATAAAAACATCTTGAAGCGAAATAAATCACCGGCGTCGTCTGCTTTCACTCAAACGAGGCGACGGCGCGTAATTGCAGCGAAACGTGTCCGAGCAGAGGTGAGAGAAAAAACAAAAAACAAAACAACATCTGGCCACATATGAAATGTAATGAGGACGACTCACAGTCCACGTCATCGAGACTGAGGAGCAGCACAGCTGGAACTCCGGGGCCTGCGAGGGAAATACAGTCATCATGTTACACTGTGTGTGTGTGTGTGTGTGTGTGT